AACTATATCCCATATCAACAGATAAGCATATTGGCTCTATCTTCACTTCTCTAGACAAGCATATGAGCTGTATCTACGGAGTTCATCCCCTATCTTCTCCCAACACCATTCGGTTTAGAGGTACATCCCCCATCTTCCCCTAAACCGCGGAGTACATCCCCCATCTCCTCCTCTACACATAACGTATACAAACACATTGGTTCTATATACAATCATTCAATACATACAGTTAATGTATTCTATCAACCGTCAAATTCCATGACACATTCCTATTGATTAGTTTTCGTTTGCCTAATCATCATGCGTTGTCTATAACAATCACGACTATCCTCCACGATAGCCCAAAGCAGTTATTTCTAAACAGAAAATAAATGCACAAATGGATATTCAATCAACATTTCAATTCGGTGAGTGATAAATAATTCAACTACACCCTTTTTCCCATACATTCCCAATCTCAACAATTCCATTTCATTTCCTCATTTCTCGCAATTAATTATCTCAATTAATCAGACAATGTAATTAGGTCATTTTCCATAATTACCATCCCAATCCTTAGGTCCCATTTCCATTAATGTTTTAACATTAATTTCACTTTTTCCATGCCAAACATGCATTTAGACTTTGTTTAGCTAAAACCCCAACCTTTACAAATTTACACAAAGCCCCAAACTTTTACCAAATTGCCAAACCAACCCCATCATCTCAAAATACCAAAATTTAAAGACAAAGTTCATAGAAAGGAGTAGGTTATCCCTACCTCAAAGTTTGAGCCAAAAAGGAGATGAAGACTCGAAGATCAACGTGCTCCAAATCCAAACGTTTTCAGATTAAGGCGAAGCTCTCAACGCCCTCTATCTTTTTAACAAAGGCCCTAGGCTAGATTCACACCAAAGCTCTCAACGCTCTCTATCTTTTTAACAAAGGCTCTAGGCTAGATTCACACTCTAGGGAGATAAAATCTTAGAGAGAGTGTAAGTTTAGAAAGAGAGAGTCTCGGATCTAGGGTTTAATCAAAAAAGAAAGTGAAAAAGTGATGTTCAAAAACGCTACTGTCCGCTGATATAAAACACGCTCGCTCGAGCGAAGCCTTTGTCGCTCGAGCGACCAGACACAGAAAACTCTCGCTCGAGCCAAGAATTTCTCGCTCGAGCCAAAAACTCAGAAGTGCGCTCGAGCGAAGGAACGCTCGCTCGAGCCAACAACACAAACCCTCAGGTCTGCAACCAGAAGCACGCTCGAGCGACAGACTTCTCGCTCGAGCGAAGAAAAATCCAGACCGCTCGAGCGAAGAAAGCTCGCTCGAGCCAAGAAATGCAACTCTCAGGTCCAGAACCAGGTGCAAGCGCTCGCTCGAGCGTAGCCACTTTGGCTCGACCCACCCGACACGAACTCAACTCTCGCTTGAGCGACCAACTCCTCGCTCGAGCGAAGGTCCAAAAATTTGGGCAGCAACACTAGGCTCCCAAACACAACCAAACCTGTAACAAACCTACCCAACACATCCTATAACTCAAATATGAAGTAAAAAGGATGCAGACAAGTTAATAAACAACTACCAACATCCACGGACACATGTCCGGATCACTGTACAACAAGGGTAAACCCAGGATCGCTATACCTGTGCTCTAACGATGATCACTTAAAATTGAAAGCATTTAGTGATACAAATTGGGTTGGTTCAATCGATGATAGACAAAATGCAAACATATGTGTGTATAAGAAGAGAACATGTGCCTACTGTTGGTGTCTCTCATTAGCCTTTTCCTGTATTTCTCTCTCTTCTCTCTCTCTCTCTCTCTCTCTCTCTCTCTCTCTCTTCTTGTCTTCATCTTTTACCCTAAATTTAATTGTCACCAATTTTATATGAAAATTTGTCTCAACAACACAATTCAAATTGTTATAAAATCTAAACATGACAAAGAAATTGGTAAGATTGTGAAGAAAGCCCACCTTCCAGCACCAAGTGCCCCCTCAAAAACATAAAGTTTCTCACTCATAGTTGTTTGAAAAACACAATAGTTTGTCTTAGAGATGAAATAGAAAATTTAAAAGTAGTGATCAAAAAACTGAATCCTCATGCAAGTGTTGCAGAGTAGTGACATAAGTAGATTGTACTAGAGAGAATAGGGCGTGCCCTTGTAATGGCATCCAACTGTCCTGATGAAATAATCTGTGTATTATAGAAATATCAGCTTCAACCAGTTATAAAATAGCAAAACAAAAGCAAAATGATCCTCTACTTATGTGAGGAAGAAATAGGATATGAGATATATAATCTTACCATTATTTTGCCATTCAAAACCTCTGGCATTGACATAGATTCCAGTGAACACTGCTTCCATATAAAGAATACATCTAATTAAACATACTGACATATGCATAGCTCAGCTCCATTTCTCGGGACCACTTTTCTAGTAAGATATAATACCCACTACACTACACTGCACTCCAGAGTTGTTAACCATGACAATAGAGAAGAATCTGAAAAATGTAGACATCCAATCCAAGCAGCAAGCATATCTCATCACATTGTGACTGAACAACTAGCATATACACGAGAATGAGATGCTTAACAAGGCAAGAAACAGCTTTTTATATCAGTTTCTAGACTTACCAAAAAGAGAAGATATGAAGCAAGCAACGAGCGGGGAAGTGCTGAAGTGAAGTACCAATAAAATGGGATGTGTCTAGAGACTAAATATTGAGGAACAAATAAAATATGAATTTCACAAGATACTCTAGTTATGTCAAGGGTGTATTTTGACGAGAGTTTTGACGAATTTATGACATAAAAAGTATAATAGAGTAGCACAAACAGACCACTACTTGAGCATAGCTGAGCAACCAAGAATTAAAACACCCAAAAAACAGTAGCAAACTTACCAACAACATAGCACACCAGAGACCATCACAGCAGTAACCATGCTCAGACCACCCTCAGCCATTGACACAGATTCCAGTGAACACTGCTTCCATATAAAGAATACATCTAATTAAACATACTGACATATGCATAGCTCAGCTCCCATTCCTAATGCAATATTGAACCTGCTGCCATGCCATGATCCTTGCTCCATTTAGCAGCAACTGAAAGTGATAACTCAGAGCCCACCCAGCAACAGGGCAGCCTTCTTATAAGCCCAGAGAACTCGAGGCCAATCCACAGCAATAGACAACAATATCACCAACCTCAAGGCCACACTCCAAAACAGCATGTCAATTTAGTATCAGTTAGGTAAAACAACATGTAAATCCAAATCTGTTAGAAGAAAAATTCCAATAAATATTAGAAAATATAAAGTAATTAGTTTGTAGGTAATAACATTTCTATGAGGGAGAAAAAAGAAAAATTTTAGACTTAAATTCATATACAACAAATTAGATATTAGCATATTCCTATCAATGTGTATTTTTAACAGAAGCCACTGAAGTCAAGGAGCATTTAACCAAAAAATAACATGATATGCAAAACTTTTGCACCTGCTTTCACTTTTTCTCCTTCCCCCCCCCCCCAAGGTTAGGCTCCAAACCTTCAACCCAATGCTTTTTGAAAAGGCAGAAGGATAACACTTTTTCATTTACAAAATTCAAGAATAGGAACATTGTTACAGTTGAAAGTCAATCATGTCACATAACAAACAGAGGCTTGGTTTCAAAAAAATTAAGCCTTAACATGCCTAAGAAAGTTAATCAAAACTAACAAGTAAATGACAACAACATACTGACAGTCTAGCAAGCGCAATGATTTCATCTTATGGATGACATATAAGTGGTAATTTGGCTTCTTTGTGATATTATTATCAAGAAGACTAAGAAACTGCAGCTTAGGCAGTGATGCAAGAGGATCAATCTCAACCAAATTCGTTAGTTGATTGTTAGTGAGAACCAAAGTATGCAACTTGGGCAAGAACTCTGCAAATCCACAAAACATAACATATTTGAATGATTGTAATTGCATAAGCATGTCACCTGCTTTGAGTGTATGAGAATTTTGTCAAACTCCCTCTTCTCAGCAAACGCAGTAACAACTTTTGGAGTCACTCTTGCTTTAATGTAAATTTTCAGTGCAAGGTCATTATCCACTGTCTGCAGTAGAAACAAGATTCATTACATCAGAAATTCCAATAGAACAGATCTGATAAATAATATAGAACAAGCAACTTTGGGAAATTATTTTCATTTCAGGTAAATTTTTGTAAGTATAGTTTAAACAATGAGTAAATTTGAAACAGAGAGATTAAAAATAAAGGATTACAGAAAAGTTTTGTATAAGAACTATAGCACAATAAACATCATGAAAAGTTCAATCCTCCAAATCAAACCTTCACAAGATCTCCAAGCTCCTCGCTACATTCAAGTTTGTCCTCTGCCAACCAATTCTCCAAAAGATTCTTTTTGTTTTGATTTACAACAAGACGAGATAGTTCCAATGACTCAAAAGCATTGAGCTTTCCCCTAGTTAAAAGAGTTCCAAAGTACTGCAGCAAAGGACGTGTTTGCCCAGCTTGCACTGGAACACTCTACAAAGCATAAAGAGTAAATGAGGGCCTTGACATTTACACCTTCTGAAGACAAATGGTTAGGGCTGATATCATGTTAATAAAACTTGAAATTTAGCAACAGTGTCAGAAGTGCGCAGAATTCCCTGCGGTGACTCTGCAGCAAGTTCCGCAGCCTCCTTATACTTCCTCCTCCCAACCAACACCTGGAGGACAGAGCAGAAGCAAGCGGAAATAGCAGCAGAGGAGTTCCACCCAGGTCAGCCAATAACCTCAGCAGCCAGAGGAGCCCACCCATATCAGACTCTAACCTCCACACCCTGATGGTAATGCACTTCACAGTCATACCAGCCATATCAATTACCTCCTTAGACACTTCTTCCTGAAATACACCTTCTCACTTGCCTAAGATTAATCGCAAAGTCCTGAACTGTAAACCTATGAATGTAGCAATGTTCAATTAAGTATGCATGTTGAAGGAACCTTGAAATAAAGGCAAGTTTAAAGCTTGGCTGCAGAATCACTTAATTCCTTTTGGTTGTCGGGATATCATGAAAGAATTCTGGAAAAAGGGACGTTAAGAAAGCTTGCTTTTTCACGAGTAAAATCTCGTGAGAGGCATTTTCTTATTACTTGTTCCCATGATGGGGGACCTCTGTCAATGAGACTCAGAAGCCTGGATTTCTTGTTTCAAGAATACAAATAAAAACATCCGTATGAGTTAAAGATGGAATTTAAAAAAGAAAAACAAATTTTGTAATCACTAAAGCTAAAATGATAATAATAATCAAGTCAGTCCCAACTCAATAGGACTCAAAAATAAACACAAACATACGTTAGGTAGTCACTTACCTGGAGAAGAATCAGAAAAGATAGTGGACCTTTAGAATTTGGATCATGGCAAAGAGAGCAGACATCTTGTGTGGGCTCTCCAGTGTCGCTTCTGATATCAGAGGGGCATGCTTCTTCTCCACCTCCTGAACCATCCAACCCATCATCTGTAATTGAATTAATGCTTGCCAAAAATTTGGATTGCTGGGCTCGCATTTTTTCCTGCATATCAAATGTAGTGAGATTTTAAAAGACATTTCTAACAAGGGCTTCACTAGGTCTTGTTCCGTCATTGATTGATCCAACCTGACCCAGGGCAATTTTGGTACAGTTATCATTCATATCTGTTGTTACTAAAACAAGAACATATGAACCAACCACAATCTAGTCTAAAAGTAAGAATATACTAGTCGTTACCTTCCCTTCAACATGCATGTCCGACAGGTGCAACTTCACCCACATTCTGCAAACCATTCACTTCCTTAGTTGTATACACAGGACACCACACCACATGTTGCAGAAGTTTCACATATCACAACTTCTGATTCAGCAAGTTCTTCATCAGATGGATTGGCAGTATGCACGCCTCAGAGCAACATTGCAGCAGCCGCAGCAAGCATCAGCCACCACGGCAGCAGCAGCAGCAGCAGCAGCAGCAGAAGCAGAATTAAAGATGAAGCCATTTTTTCTTTCTTTTGGGAACAAAAAAAGAATTTGAAAACAAGTTACTGCAAATGAATATAAAAAATGCAAGATAAAATAAGACACATTGACACCCTATACTTTTTCATGATGATTAAAATTATTGTCAGCCTAACCATCTAAAACAAATTCAATCTTAGCTTCTCATGACCTATTATTACTTAGCAATTCATACTACACCTAAATCCTAATTGATCCACTTCCTGAACGTGTATTTCTAAGTAACCTGTATTTCTCTGTAAACATTCCAAAAAAACCTTTACATAACATTGCGTAAAAACTAAACTGAACATATCATAACAATTAGTAATGTAACCAAATTAATATCAAATGCATTTCAATATCCCAAATTTTATTCAAATATCCAACTATACTAAACATAAGAATCCTAAAATGCGTCTAACTATATCCAACAATCCCAAACATAATAATTCCAAAAAGTATATAAACATTCAACAGAAAAACCTATAAAACGAAACAAAGAAAAATTAAATGAATGCCAACGTGCAAAACGATATATATCACTATTGAACCACGAACATTCATCACCAACTTGTGAACAAAGGATAAAAACATGAGTATTTTATTAATGCATTAACTTCAACAATAATATACAAATATAGTTAAAATTAATCAAAAAATTGTTGTGAAGCTATTGTTTTATCAAGCTATTGTATACAAAGGTTGTAATGCTAGGATTGTAATACAAAGTTTATATAATTTTATATTGTTGACACATGTTAGGATTGGTTAAATAAAGTAAATCAATTTAATGAGGTGTCAAATTTACCTCTATTTCAACCAAGAGAAGTTTCATCCTCCCTTACACCCGATGCATCCTCACCAGCATTGTTGCTTGGAACTAACCCCGGAATGTTTGCTAGATCTATCCCATTTTTTGCTGCCAACATTTGAATGATAGTTTGCATTGTACTCATGCTTTGAGCCTGGTCAACTAACTGCTTTCCTTGGTCAGCTAATTGTTGTCGCTGGTCAACTAACTGCTATTGAAGAACAATCACCTCAGAGTTAGGAGCCTCAAAATGTGTAGAAGATGAAGTACTGTCCTTGCGGATCCCGTATCCCTTCAAGAAGACCGACCTCTTCCCAAGTACTTCTCTAGAAATCTGCTCCTCAGACAATGGATGTGTGACACTAGGTTGAGATTGCTCAGCGATCTTTGAAACCATAGTGGCCTATGAATGAAACATATATAAGCTTAAAACATAATATCAAAATGCAAACATTTATTATTGAAATTGAAATAGTTATGGTTACATGATGTTCCTCAGCTGTGTTATTTATCCACACTCCCCCATGTCGGTGACGTTTGTGGGTGTCCTCGAATAGTTTCGTAATAGTCGGTTTGCTTCCTTGTACCTTTCATTTCATTAGATTTTCTAGTCAATCAATAATTTTGTATTTATAATTTAGTATGTTCAAATTTGTAAATCTACACTTACAATGATAGATGCTCGCGATGCAAATGATCTCGAGCCGCTCGTATGATTATACTTCACACAACCTCTCGCTTTCATCGCATTCTCTGACTTTACCTAAAAATTAAAAAAAAAATTTGGTATTAATATACAGGAGGATGTTACTTTAGTAAATATTTTTATAAATACCTTCCAATCATCAGTTTCCCACAAATTGTCAATCATCCATTCCTAATCATCCTTTGTACAAGGATATAGTATCTGACTTTTGAGGTCAGATACATTGTCTTTTTTAAGGGATTTGTAGTGTGTGTGTAATCTACTTTTCCATTCACTGTACAAAGTTTGGCACTTTTGATCAATAATACATCTCACATCCACATCATTATTGTAGTCCCCAAAGTCAAAAGTTTGCTGCAATTGGAAATAATAAAATTCAATATATTTTATATATCATTCCGATTAACATAAATAACATGTTAAATATATAACACATATATTTCAAATTGCCCCAACTCTTGTAACAATGGACTCTTATAACCCAAAGGCAATTTCTAGCCATCCATCATTTCGAACTGGGGCATGAACTCGAATTTGTTGACCAAGAGCAGCTGCTAGCGGTGTGGCGTAATCCCCTTCTATTGCTTTGGTCAAACGGTTAAGTGTAACGGGTATTCGATCACCACGTTCCTTTCTAATCTTCTCCACATTCTTTCCTCGAGTCGGTCCTCGTACACGTTTCTTGCCCAAAACTGGAATTGATGCTACTATGACCAAAATTTTATTCAATTTAGTCGACATAAAACATGAATGCACTAAATAAATATTGAGATAAGAAATTATCATTTCATTTAAGTGGTCATTTATTTCTCACCTCCACTGTTAGTCACAGTACATGGACTTGAAAGGTGGTTAGGTTGAGTGGCGGAGGTAGGGAGCTGATCGGGCCTAGTATGTAAGGTGGGAAGATGGATAGGTTGGGTCGATACCTCAGGTGTGCTCTCTGAATGATTAACTTGTGCAACTACAGGTCGTCTCGGAAGAGTAAGTGTATCTTTATCAACAGTACTTCTCTTTTCCCTAGGTGTTTGTGAAGCTATTAGGCGAGCTGCACACCTATTTGTTTTCCTACCAGGACCCATATGAATATCCTGACATAATATAAAAAACAATTGTTAGTACATTTTCAATAATTTAAGGTTGCTTAATAAAAAAATAAATTTGAAATAACTAAACATACCACAAGTAACAAGTGAAAAAAATAGAGAAATTACTTTTTAAACACACATTTATTACCTCAATCACTTGAGAATTAAAAGGCTCGCCATTATCACTTGAAGAACTCAGTCCTTCATCATCATCAAGTGGTTGATAGTCCTCGTCATTATCAGTTTCTCCCACCTTTCTCTTTCCCACCCTACAACTTTCACTATTGTCCTTTTCAATAGAACCAAACATTGAATTCTTGAGCGACTTTATCCCTAGAGCATCAAATTTGATTTTATTTTTCTGGATTGTTTTTTTCCTATCCTTCTCATATTTTGTCATCTTCTAGACTAAGCCGCCGGGCTTAAGAAATGATTTACCGTTTTTGGACATCTTTGTAACTGTACATATGGCATATAATTAAATGAAATGAAATAGAGAAACAATGCTATGAAATTTGAAAAACAATGCCATGCAATGTAAACCAAGCAATTTATTATTAAATTATAACACTTGTCCATATAATTAAAAATTAAACACTACATATCATAATCTATATCAAGATCTATATCAAACACTACATATCATAATCTATATCAAGATCTATATCAGGATCTACATCAACATCAGGTTGTCTATGCAGTTCATCATCTTCATCATCATTATACTCTATGATTGTGTCGTCCTCGTCATCATTGTGAACTAAATTCTCTGCCATTAGTTAATCATTGAAATGATCTCAGGATCTATATCACCCCTGCTGTATTGAACATCATTATCTTGGATCACTACCCCAACACCATCAGTGGTTTCTTCCTGTTGAAAAGCATCATTAGAGACATCATCCCGCTCTGGTATATCCCATACTCCCCGATGCTTAACACGTTCAACGACTCTCCAATTTTTGTCTTTGCTGGTATCATTGACGTAGAATACTTGTCTTACCTGACTAGGTAGAACAAATTGGTCATCTTTATACCAAAGTCTTGTAACATCAATACTTGTGACATGTTCATCGGAGTATATTCTATTCTTGTGACCGGTGTCATACCATTCACATTGGAACAAAACCACTGTACCCCCATGCAAGTATTTCAATTCCCATATTTTGCACAAATAGCCGTAAAAATTAATTTGGTTCCCATTATGGTCCCCTTCTACGACCAACCGACTATTTTGGCAGGTACGACGATTTTCACGGTTTCTAGTATGGAATCGAATTCCATTGTAGATGCACCCAGAATAAAAGTCAATTACCGATCTAGGACCATTTGCTAATGACCACAATTCGTCAGTTGCTTTAGGTGACCCTTTCATTCGCAAATCATCCATCTACATAAAACACCATATGACAAGTGTACTAAGTTAATGTGAATTGAAAGTTTCAACAATTGTATTCAGTTATTTTCTTTAGTATATCTTACACGATTTTTGAACCATTTTGGAAATTCTTCCCGTTGTACCCGACTTATGTCACGTCCTTGTACATTATGTAAAATATTCTTCTGCTCCCTACCCAAGGAAATGTGATATACGTAATTAACTTTGAGAGTTCGAAACAAAATGGAACGATTATGCATAAACGTAATTAAACTTAAATACATACTCAATATATGGCTCCACCTCAGAGCTATTCTACAATGCAAACCAGTGAGCCATTTCTCATTCATTCTGCGAAGGGTCAAGAGCCCTTGTGATAGGTGAGAATAGACGAGCATTTTGGGTAAAGACCTCCATCGCGGGACCACGTTCACCACCATCATCATTTCGTTCAGGTTTATCAATCCCTTTTAAGTACATTGAACAAAAAGTAAGACACTCTTTGACAATGTAAGACTCAGCGATAGAACCTTCTGGACGTGCTCTATTACTGACATACCCTTTCAAAGTCCCGAGAAACCTTCAACAAAAATTGACAATGAAAATTATGCTTCTTGATGCAAGAAAATTACTTCTTAAACATTAGTCTTTTATGGGTGGATTTTTGTACAATAGTTTAGTTATAACAAATTAATAAATAACCATATATTCATAATGATTACCTTTCGATCGGGTACATCCATCGATATTGCACCGGTCCAGCAAACATGGCCTCACGGGGCAAGTGAACAGCCAAATGGACCATCACATCAAAGAAAGCTGGAGGAAAAATTTTCTCCAACTTGCAAAGTATGAGCACAATTCGTTCTTCCATTTTTTCCAAATCAGTCTGCCTTAATGTTTTTGAGCACAGTTCTTGGAAGAAGTTGCCCAACTCAAATAGTGTTGTACAGATCTCCTTGTTCACAAAACCACGCATGCCAATTGGTAGAAGTCGCTGAAGCAGGACATGACAATCATGGCTTTTCATGCCCGATAATCTTCCATTTTTAGAAGTCACACATCTTGAGATGTTTGCTGCATAGCCATCGGGATAACTAATAGACTTCAAGAATTCACAAAAACCATCTATTTGTCGAGAATCCAATGTGTAGGCTGCCCGAGGCTTTACAACAGATCCGTTATCTTTCCTCTGTAGATGCAATTCTTGCCTTATGCCCATTTCTTGCAAATCATCACGTGCTTTGTACGTGTCCTTGTTTTTCCCATCTATGGCCAACATCGTCCCGTAAAAGTTTTCACAAATATTCTACTCAATGTGCATGACATCAAGATTGTGTCGGAGGTTTAATTTCTTCCAATACGGTAGCTCCCACATTATGCTTTTCTTTGTCCAATTCAATTCTTCAGACTCTCGTGGTCTTTTCTTGTTGGTAGGATCCTTTCCAAACTTGACTTCCCGCAATTGATCCAATTGAGCCATTACTTTTTCCACCGGTAAATCCAAGGATTTCTTTCTAAGCTCAGTTAAACCATCAAACTTCTTGTCTTTCCTCCAAAGGTGGTTATCAGGCAAGTAAGCTCGATGACCCACCCACCCAATCTTACTGATCAACCCGCGTGACAATGGATTATCATTACAAGGAGGGCAAGACAAATAACCTTTAGTTCTCCATCCGGATAAGTCACCATATGCAGGGAAATCATTTATGGTCCACATTATAGCTGCATGCATCCGAAAGGTTTGTTCAGTGGAGGCATCGTAAGTCATCACGCCATTCTCCCATAACTCCTTCAACTCATCAATCAATGGCCTTAGGTAGACATCAATATCAGTCCCTGGTTGATTAGGTCCAGGAATAAGTAAGGACATCATGAAAAATGGGGCCTTCATACATCTCCAAGGTGGGAGGTTATAGGGCATGAGTATGACAGGCCACATGCTATAGGAAGTGCTCATGTTCCCAAAAGGGTTGAACCCATCGGTGGCTAGGCCCAACCTAACATTGCGAGTCTCCTGGGCAAACTCTGGATAATGCAAATCAAATTCCTTCCACTCTTTACAATCAGCCGGATGCCTCCCTACACCATCATCCACACGCTTATCACTATGCCATCTCATGTCTTTTGCCGTCTTCCTAGACATGTACAATCTTCTCAACCTAGGTGTCAATGGGAAGTAACGCAATATCTTGTGAGGGATCTTCTTACCCTTGCTATCATTTACTCTGTACCTAGATGCTTGACACGTGGGACATTTTTCTAAGTGAGCATTCCCCTTCCAGAGTAGTACACAATTATGTTTACATGCATCAATGGGCTCGTATCCCAAGCCCAAGTCACGTAATAACTTCTTGCACTCATAAATTAACCCTGGCACCACATGGCCTTCTAGTAGGAATCGTCTTTGTATCTCTAAAACCTTGTCAAAAGACTTATTACTCCACCTATTTTCTACCTTCACATGTAGCATCTGAATAACGAATGATAACAAAGTATCTGAGTTTTTGCAACCTGGGTACAAGCAACATTGGGAAGCATCTAGCAATTTATCAAAATGTCGTACATCCTCTCTTTCTAGAGTATCACCCTCCATAAAATTCCCCCTCTGATAGTCCTCTATCAGTTCATCATAT